ATCGATCCCGGGATCTAAGTCCTATACAGCCATCATGTGATTTAAGGATCGAATCCTTACCGATCCTGCAGGTCCTTGTAAGGACCGGTTAGGATTCGGTCCCAAAAGACCGATTAACATCCCTATATGCTATCGTCTGTTTGATGGACATAAAGCTAATCTTAACCGGATTAAAAACCTATTTGTTGCTCTTATATTATTTGCTATACCGAAATGCATGTGAATTAAGAATTTAGTGAGCAAAAATAGCAAAAATCGCAAAAATCTACGTAGAAATAAATATGTTACACGAACCAAAATAATATGGTCGAGAGCCGAGCCTGGATTGTTATAGACAGATTAAAATGGTTGAATCTAGAATTCACTTTTGTAATAAGAACAGAAGTTCTATAATTTATTAAAGTTACAGAACATTACATTTTCATGTAACAAGAACATCGGCTCTTAGAACATGTGAGTATATATGTGACAGTACGTGCAGTGCATAAGTACAAATTTAATTTTTGCCCCGGTCCTATACTTTATAGCGAATTCCGATAACAAAAAGGAAACCAATGCGTCAATGATTACACCATCTTATATGTGATAGGTAAACTTTCATGCTTAATTTTCCAAAGTTTCCGAATTAGGTGAAAGTGAAACCTTTACAAGTGTAGAATGTTCTGTAAAACTAATGAACCACAGATAGTAAGATTTCCGAGGAGAGGGAATGCCCCCGATCACGACACAATAAATAAGATCAACATTAAAATTTCTTTAATTGGAAAATATTTCTATAAATAAAAAAGATTTTTTTATATATTTCCGTTAAAAGAACCGGCACCTCCTTTATTTTAACCCATAAAAGTCCTTGTTTAAAATAAAAACATTATGTCTTTCTGCATTGCTAATTTTCTATTAGTAAAACAAACTTTGGCGTTACATTCCTTATTGTATTATTGTATCTTCCTAATTTTCTAATTTATTTTATTCGATTATGCTTTCAAACAATTGAAAATGTCTACACAATTCTTCCTTCATGCATATTTAGTACGTAAGAGGAACCATAAATAATAATAAGTTATTTATATTATCATTTATTAATTAATTTTCTTCGCAGGCAGTAAATCCCTTTTTTTTTAAAAAAAATAAAATAAAATAAAATAAACATGCGAAACCATGTGTAATCAATCTTAACAAATAAGTTATTGATTTTCACGGGATTAGTGATTATGTATATTTTATAATTTTTTATAATAATAGTGAAATAACCGCACAGCCATTTATCCGAAAATTTTTGCTTTTTTCAAACCAGATCATTTATTGTTTTTTTAAAGTTTAATCTTTTTTTTTTTTATTTTTCGCCTCTCGTAAAAAAGCCCCCAAGGTTTTTTTCACACGTTACTGCAATAATCCTACTGGTTGTATTACAAAAAAACTTTAAAAAAAATCAAAAATATGACCCGTTCAACATCTTCACTTGGTCTTTCAAGGAATAATCGAAAGCCTACAAAACCTTTAAAATCTTCAGTTACATCAACTCCTTCAAGGTGTCACAGTCCAAAAGCTTTAAAATCTCCTACTATCTCTCTTTATAATTTAACTCCTATAGATCGTGATTTAAATGATATACTTCGAAATTTAGTTGATGAATTATGTGAAATTTTTGTTAAAGCTAGACAAGATGGAAAAAATGAAGCTCAAACTGTTGATGTTATCGTAAATTTTTCTACTTTAAAAAATCAAGATCTTTCACAAATTTTTGATTGGCTTTTAAATAATACTCATAAAGATAAATATAAAACTCTTTTGGGATATTTTTATGATCAAGGTATAGCAACAAAAAGGAATCAAAGAAAAGCTTATTGTTTATATTTATCAGCTGGAAAAAAAGGTTATCCAATTGCTGAAGATTTACTTGGTGATTGTTATTATTCTGGTCAAGGAACTACTAGAGATCGTGATATGGCTTTTGAATGGTATCAAAAAGCTGCTAATAATGGAAGTACTGGTTCTCAATTTAGTTTAGGAATTTGTTATGCTTTTGGTGAAGGTGCTTCAAAAGATGTTAACAAAGCATTTCAATGTTATAAAAAATCTGCAAATGGTGGAAATGTTAGTGGAATGAATGAATTAGGTTATTGTTACGAAGTTGGAATAGGAACAAGAAAAGATAATAGAAAAGCCTTTTTATTATTTGAACAAGCTGCCAAAGGTGGTAATCCTCCTGGTCAACATAATCTTGCTTCATGTTATGAAGAAGGAAAAGGAACTGAGGAAGATCTTGATAAAGCTATATATTGGTATAAAATGTCTGCTAATAATGGTCACGAAGTTGCTAAACGTCGTGTTCAAAGTCTTTTAAACTTGATTGCTCATCACCCTAATGTAGAAGACTCGCTATTATCAAAAGGTGTTGATATCAGTATGTATTTTCTTTTTATTAAGTTTTCTATATACTGTACATATTTATATATTTATTAATATTGCGCTATAATATAGATTTATTAAACAATCAGTTTGGTGAAATCAAGTAAGTATATCAAAAGTTTATTATCCTTTAAAAATATTTTTAAATATTTATTGATTTTTATTTATTCATTAATAGTTTGAATGCATAATATTTATCGGTTTCATGGTATTAGCGTTAGCAATTAATTTTGACTTTAATTTTGATCTACTTATAATGTAGTTTTTTGTCTGATAAAACCTGGACAAACTTGGACAATTGTTTTCTTTTTAATTTTCTTTTTTTCTTTTCTTATTTAACGTTTTTTTAATTTTTTTGTCTTTTTAATGTTTTTATTTTTTTTTATTTTTCTTAATTTTGTTTATAATTGCATCCCCTCGTCTCAAAATAATGCACTTTATAAATATTCATGCAACTGTCCGTTATTTGTGTTTATATGTATTTCACTTGTCTTATTTTGAGAAATTTTTGTATAATAAATGTCATTAAAACATTGTATACATTGTATATATGCTTTTTTAATCTCTTCTCTCTCTTTCTCTCTTTTTTTTCGTGTTTTTTTTCAGTTTTTATAATACCAGTAGTACGCGATAAAATTTTACTGATAAACATGATCGCGCTGCAGTTATGGATCCACGTGTACATAATACTGCATGTAACAAAACAGAAAAATTTGACAAATAAAAAATTATACCCAAACGTAAGCAATTTTATCCTTGCCTGCAAAAACCAAATCTTTTGGTTGCTTTTATTCAATAACATGCAATAATTACATTTTACGTAATGTTTTTTTACATAATGTTTTTTTGTATCGAGGCAACATAATAATCTAAGTAACATAAAGAATATGCAATGTCACAATGAGGTTTCCACGCAGAAAATTATGGATTCTAACTAGTGTTAACTTACATGTAACAGTAAGTATTTTACCTGATGCAAGTTTTATTGTAACTGACGTAAATTATTTGTAAGTTATAAATTCGATTAATGCTGGTAAAAATTGTCACATGATTCGGCCAGCTTTATATTGTAACTTAACTAGGAAAAGTGATTATATCTGGATTTAATTTATGTTTTTTTTTTTTTTAAACTATTTATAAAATCGGTAAACCAATTATTCTTTATTAATATTCATAAAGGTTTTTTTTTTTAAAAAAAAAAAATTACTTGACAGGTTTGTATATCAATATTTTTTTAAAAAAAATTACTTGACAGGTTTGTATATCGATATTTTTTAAAAAAAATTTAAAACTAGTTGCGAACTTAATAATTTATTCAATTAATACACTCTACAGCGAACTCTTGATATAACACAGGTAGAATAATACGCTTTTTTTACAAGTATTCTTCCAAATATTTTCTATATTACGTATCTAAATTCTTTCCATATCTCTTTTACATGTAATTTAAACGGCTGAAAAATGTTTAGAAAGGTTGCATATCACATCAAAAATTTTGAAAGAATACCCGTCAAAAGGGTTTAATGTTCTACAGTGCGCGACACTTAAAGACTACACAAACTTTAAAAGCCAATAACATTTGATCTAAAAAAGATATTTTAAAAAGGAAGCCGCTATTTTGTAGCTTAATCAATTTGCTACAACTTAGCGGCTTTATTTTTTAAAAAATTATAATAACTTTTTAAAATATATAGCTTTAAAAATATAGTATTTTTATATAATCGCATATGAAAAAAAGTTAAAAATGGGACACATTAAAAAAAAATAACCAATTAAATTAGTTTAAATTTATACAGTATAATAAAATTTTAAAAACATTTTAACCAATTAAAATTCATGAAATTTGACCAATCAAAATTAAGTAACTATAAAAACATAAAAAATCAACGTTTTAAATAAATTAAAGTGTTAAAATTTTAAATTTTAAAAATGGGACAAGTGTAGCCTTTAAGTGTCGCGCACTGTACCTATGTAAAGAATCTAATTATTTTTAAACTATATAATAGTTCTTTATAAAAAACGCTATGAGCTTTTAATAAAACATAGCAATTTTATATGCTAATAAATACTAAAGTTTGGCAAAATTTTTTTCGATGCTAATAATAAAATTATTAAAAAAAAATCCAAATTTTTTTATAACTATACTATATATAAGTGTCGCCAAAAGAAAATCCGACAATTTAAATATAGACTATATATAAATTGTCGGGTTTTCTTTTGGCGGCACTCATATAGTATACTTTTTTGTCTGTTTTTTTTTTTACTATAAAATTACTAATAATTTTAAAAATTAGTTTGCTAAAATAGGAAAAAATTATAGCTTGTAAAAAAAAATTCCATAAAATTAGAAACGTTATTTAAAGCTATTAAATTTTTTATACAGTAGCGGTAGAGTTCCAATCTATTAAGCATTTATCCGGATAACTATCAGATATCCGGATCTGAATTTATTGGAGATCTTCATAGGGTCTTGAACCAATTTAGCCTCGATCGTGAACAATAGTGATTAATGTCAAATGGTTTAAATCGATAAACTAACACTTTCTCTTTATGGATTTATTAAATACTATTTACAACCGTTCTTCTTTTCATAAACCGAAACCACACCCTTATATATCTTTAATTCGTATGGGGTTTTAATCCCTCGTTTGGGCTTTCAATTCCTCGCTGAAGGTTTCAATTCCTCGCTGGGGTTTCAATCACGCAACTATGCAACAAACTATACCAAAATAAGAAATTCATAAAATAACGATAATAATAAAATAATATGACACTAAAAAAAATTGAACATACCGGATAATTAGATACGGATAAACGGATGATGGATTATCCGTATTGGAACTCTATTATATACAATATTAAATATTTAGATAATTGCTCTTAAAGTGTTATTTTCTAGTACGTATTAGAGTATATCTAAATTCTATTTATTAATGCTACGTATATTAGATAAAGATATTATTAGTTGTTTGAAGCAATATTACAAATTTGATAAACTTTTTTTTTATTTGCATTCTACAGATTCGTAAAATTCAATAAAAAAAAATTTTGATTGAATTTGACTTGGTGGTTGTCAAAATACCCTCGCTCAAAGTTTAAGAAAATTTTTGGCGCACCTATTTTGATAGACGTTTTGAGTTTTTTTAAAGCTTTGAGCAAAGGTATCTCGACAACCACCTAGTCAAATTTAATAAACTTTTTTTTTTTATTTGAATTTTATAGATCCTTAAAATTCAAACAAAAAAAAGTTGATCGAATTTGATTTGGTGGTTGTCAAGATATCTTCGCTCAAAGTTTGAGAAAACTTTTGGCGCAGCTTTATTTTGATCGGCGTTTTCTAAACCTTTGAAGAGTGAAGTTGAGGAGTGAAGATATCTCGTCAATCACCTAGTCAAATTTAATAAACTTTTTTTTTTTTTTTTTAATTCTACAGATTGTTAGAATTCAAATAAAAAAAAAGTTCATCAGATCTGACCTGGTAGTTGACGAGATATCTTCGCACAAAGTTTTAAAAAGACAAGTCTATCAAAATAAAGTTGCACCAAAATTTATCACAAACTGATCCACCGAGTCAAATTCGAGGAAATTTTTTGTTTGGATTCTACGAATTATAGAATTCAAATAAAAAAAAAAAAAAAAAAACTTTATTAAATTTGACTTGATGGTTGACGAGATATCTTCGTTCAAATTTTTAAGAAAACTCAAAATGAAGCTGCGCCAAAATTTTTCTCAAACTTTGAGCGAAGATATCTCGACAACCACCAAGTCAAATTCGATCAACTTTTTTTATCTGTATTTACAAATGTAGAACGCAAATAAAAAAAAAAAGTTAATCAAAATTTGACTAGGTGGTTATCGAGATATTTTCGCTCAAAGCTTTAAGAAAACTCAAAACGTCATCAAAATAAAGCTGCAACAAAACTTTCTCAATATTTGAACGAAGATATCTCGACAATCACCAAGTCAAATTCGATGAGCTTTTTTTTTTTAATATTTGAATTCTACAAACTTGTAAAATCCAAATAAAAAAAGTTTATCGAATTTGACTTGGTGGTTGTCGAGATATCTTAGCTTAAAGTCTGAAAAAAATTAAAAAAAATTAGTTTACAGGGGGTACGAATAACGAAATCAGGGGTATGAATATCTGCCGCCTAAAATTTTAAAATAGTTATTAAATTAATTGTATTTTAAAAAAAGAATTATATACGTAATGATATGTTATGTTGATATGTCTATAAAGTGATTTTCTGTGAAGTGATACGTAACGTTTGATCGTGTCGTGTTATACAAAATCTAATACATGGTAAATGACCAGGTCATTTGCCTATTTTGCAAATGATCCCAAAAATGATTGGCCATTTTGGTCATCTAATTTTAGAGTCCCTTAAAAATGGCTCATGACCAAATGAACTAGGTTATTTATAAATGACCAAAGTCATTTGGGGGTCATTAGGTCATTATACATACGTACTACAATCGACAAAATTTGGCTAGGTATTATTAGATCGAAAGAGTTTACACATGCAAAGCTTATTAATATTAATTAAGACTTGGGCCTGGTTTCATTTTCATGTGTCTTGACCGGTCTACCATCATGCATACAAAGTGAAGAATAAGCTCTTATTTTATACATACATACGCATACAATATTTAAAATATCTTCTATTACCTGGATTAACTTCAAGCTAGGGACACGAAATTTATTTGACTTAGGGTGCTCTCAAGCACCTAAATTAATAGTTCGGAGCTCAACATTTAATTATATAGTTTAGCCGGTCATTGATGCGAGAAAAAAAGATGGTCTCGATCATCTTTTTTATTAGAGTTGTGCTGCTGGCTAACATTTAATATCCGCATTCCGTGATATGAATTTCAGCAAAATTGTCATAACTGGTAAGGATCACCTCAATCACACGATTCAAGACCCATCATTAGGCTTCAATTATATTTTGTATCGGACACAATCTCTAACAAATTAGATTGAAAACCTGATGGCAGGTTTCCCCTTAGTGACACTCATGATATGTAAATTTCAAAACAAGATTAATTTAAATAAATCGAAAAAAATAAATAAATTGAAAAATAAATCGAAAAAGTCGAAAAAAAAATAAATAAATAAATCGAAGAAAAAAATCAAAAAATAAATTACCGGCATGTGCCAAGCACGGACATGCGTACTATGTTTTAGTAGTACGCGTGTCAGCACTTACAGAGCTATAGTAACATACCTGATATCTATTTCCAAAACCTGTTTGAACTCAATGTGTATATTTAGTTTATTAATTGGATATGCGTGTGGATTTTTTTTAAAAAAAATAAACTGATAATAAGCTACCTTTATTATCAAGCAAAAATTTTTTGAAAAACGTAAAACCTGAAAATAAGCTACTCTTCATTTTGTATTCAAAATCAAAATTGCTTTATAAAAAGTTGTTATTTTCAAGAATAAACGGTATATTTTTCAAATGACCCAATGGGTTATTTCACTCTTTTAAATCTTTTAAATGACCAGTCATTGGTCATTATTCACTTGAGTCACGAGGTCATTTCAGGTCATTTACCATCCCTGGCCGGACATGATCGAAGATAGAAATTCGAATGTCTGTATATTAAAATTTATATATCTCGGTCATCCGAATTTTTTATTTTACTATAAATCAAGTAGTTGCGCGCCGTGACCGGAAAGTGTGATGCACTTTGAGACACACTTTGTAGACTAACTAAATAATGTAATTTATATTCGCAAATTAATTAAAATAAGATATTTATCATTATGAATTACAATGTATTATATACGTGATTTTTTGCTAAGAAAATGGTCTTCTGGGACCATATGGGTTTGATAAATAAAGTTTAACTAGCAGATTCTGATTTTCAATATCTTCAATGTAAACATTATAATTTCACCTGCATCAAAAATTATATATTCTTGTGACTGTTAATATAATTAATGAATTTGTTAGTATAAATCACACTATCTCCCTTATTATTAAAGCCATTATTTTCAACCTCCGTTGCTTTATCTGATTTTAAAATTCAGTAAAGTTTTAGGGTCATTTTTTTCATTTTAAAATAGTTCATGTTGCTATACCTTTTTAGAATAGATTAGTTTCTTTATGATCTTATTAAGGTCCTGAAATTTAAAGACAATTTTAAATTTTAAAAGCTGATAATTAAGGCTCTGGCCTATAAAACTATTTTACTAGTCCTATTTGTTGTCTTTATTATAGATTTAAAATTGAGTTGTGTCAAATGATTTATTAGGTTATATCATTATGCACCTGATTAAGATAATTTCAATTTAAATCAACTATAAGTATTTATTTATTTCTTTTAGCTATATAGAAAATGTAATGTATACGTAGTACGATTGGTAAACATGTATATTTGTATAAATGTTGCAATATATACAGTGCGTACTGTATATAGCAATAATGGCATGCCTAATAACTTACTTGATTTAACAAATTGAAAAAAATAACAAATTAAAACATCAGTCAAAATTTGGGCATTCTAAAGGTTTGCCTCCAAAAACAAGTTTAACCATTAATAAGTATGAAAAAATAATACTTTAAACCCAATATTTTTGTTGGATAATATTCTTACCTGCAACTACTGGTTTAGCATTTATTGGTTTTAGGGAGATTTTGATGTTTCGAAAGTCGACTTGAATAAATAGCTTGTTTATGTGTCTGGTAGTTGGAGTCGTCTTGATTGGAATTTTGCCAGAGTAATTAATTTCTTTAACTTGCTTATATAATTCAGTTTTTTCATTGCTAAATTGATACAGAGTGTTAGCGAATTCTTCAGCAGTCGGTCGGTTTTGAGGATCATCAAATCTGGGAACTTTTCAGGTCTATAACCTAGACAAATTTTAATTGCTAGATTCTCATTATGTGAAATATATATGAAATGGAGGATACCCAGTAAAAAACTTCTGACATGATTATTCCAAAAGAATAAATATCTGATTTTGAGTATATTTTTCTCCATGCAACACCTCTGGAGCAATATAGGGAAGCACACCAAAAATTCTTTCAGAGCTTGATTCTTGGGACACCGGCTTACATAAGCCAAAATCAGTAATGTCATGTTTTCAAAATCTTTATGCATTAATTTGGCTTCGTGGATTGTATTACGCCCATCAACTATGTAATATAAAATAAATATTTTATGATTCCAACTTAAGTCGTTATATTTGCTATTTAATAATTTTCGAAGACTTCCTTGCTTTGCATGCACCCTCAAATAAATGATTATTTATCATAATCGTCCCTATTAATAAAATGAATTTTAGTTCAAATCACCGGCGGTGATCATCACCTCCCCTATATATTTTTAGGGTTAGGGTGGGGTATTAAGAATTATTTTTTTTATATAATATAAATAAAGAGCTGATATAAGGTCTCGATTTTAGTTTTTGTGAGGTTCTCAGGGGTCCTGATTAGTACCCGATCCAGTTCACTCAGTACGTTTTTGAGATATAATAATAATAATAATAAGCACCCCGGCGATGATCACCGCCGGTTATAACTAATAAAATTGTCAACTAAGTTAACAGTTTCTGCGTACATTAGCGCTAGCCAAAGTGATAATCGATAACTCATCATTATTAAAGGTTGACAGAAGAACATGGTATGCGATAATGAAGATGATAGAGGCGATAAGTGTCCATAAACTAAATTTAAATAAAATGATAGAAAGTTTGATATTTTTAAAATCTTCCAATTGTTACGAATAATAAATATACACATCATAATAAAAATTAAGGATAACTTTGAGACTGTGTAAAGATGATAAGGGTAAGCTGATATCATTTTAAATGCTATTGAATAAGATTGTTACCTATTCGAAATAGAAGAATGAAAATTTTCTAATATAATAAAAGCTTTACTATTTTATAAACATTTCTAATATAATAAAGCTTTGAATTAAATGATTATTTATAAACACAAAAACTAACTCTACAATATAAAAACTTTAAATGCTAGAAATATTAAATTGATTTTGCATGTATTTTCAATTGCTAACAAAATTGATTTCGATATCTAAAACTAATAATTTCGCCAAAATGAAATATATAAAATGTGCCTACAGGACTTATAAAAATGTGGCATAATATTAGTTTAAAACTTTCGAGTTCATCCCTCACAATAATAATTGAAGCAATATATTCTAGTTGTGCAGTAAAATAAAAATTCAATCGGATAGTCAAATCCTAGCGCTATTATGTACGTAGTACGTACGTAAGTTGTAACTACCGTAGGATATAATTTATGACTTATCTGTTATGTTATAAAATCCAACGATAGTTAATAAAATTAGGTAAGTATCATTGAATTATGTTATGTTTAATAGGGAAATGTTATTAATGGTATTTTTTAAATGTTTATCGAATTATCCTCCAAAACGTACCAGGGTGGTATCTCTTATATACTTTTTCTTTACCCTTGATAGTTACTAACTTTCAGTTCTTTACTTTTGATAGTTGCTAACTTTGATAGTTAACTTTTCGCGTTTGTTAGTAACCAGTTCCAATAATTCGTAACTAACGGCCGATCCAATTCAAGAACCCTACAGCCGACGTGGCTTAACAACCATAATACGTACAAGGAAATTATGCAAATTTCCAATTCAATCACAACAACGTACGTACGGTACATATATTGATGTATTAACCCTAGTTGTCGCGTCACTGCAGATTCTTGATGTATTAACCCTAGCTGTCGCGTCACTGCAGATTCTTGATTTTGATTGACGATCAAAAAATTAGGCCGGAATTACTAGTAATTTTATCAACGAAATCGCCAATTTTACTACAGTGCGGGAAGCTAAAATTTGTTTGTTTCGGTTTCGTCACCTAACTCTTCGAAATCACGTTATTGTCTTCGGAGCTTTAGTCTGGAGATCGATGTAATTACTGGAGAATTAGATGATCATAAGACGAAACCAAAGAAATTTTGGGTTTGTCTCGGAATTTATGTATTTATATTAGAACTGCGGGTATAATAATAAAAACCGATTATCGAACAATGCCGAGCGCTGTTAGTATTTCTAAGAGATCAATTTCTCGTGTCTTTTATGCCATACAATTTGATAAGGTTTTTTTTTGATTGCACTACTATTGAGTTCGTTATAATAACTTTATATAGAAACATCATTATAGTCTAACCTAATTGATGTTTTTTATTTTTCTATCTGAATTTAAATAAATTTATGTACTTTTCTGTATTGCTAATTATGCTTTTTTTTTAAAAAATAAATAAAAATGAATATTTTCAGTTATATAAAATTTGTAAGTTTAAATATACTAGGTAAGTAAGGAAAAATTACAATAAAATTATACGAATTATTATGTCTATATAAACCCCAAATAACCAGTTATATTACCAGAGATAATAAATTTTGAAATGTTAATTTTCTTTTTCTAATTCAAAGGTAGTTTGATAATGTTGACCATTAGTCTTGTTCTTTGCGAAGGCAGTAATTTCCATTTTTCCAAAACAAAGTCCAAAAAGAATAGGCCTTTGAAGACCAAGATGGGCATCTGGAAGATCAATTCGAAGTTTTCCAAGTGGATTCATTCCAATATCATCACAATATTTAGATTCAGGGTCCTGAGTAAGAAATATCTCAAAAGTTATAGCTACTTGATCTTTCTTTAAAGGATAACAGGTAAAAGTAAACTCTTGATCAACGGATACTTCAGCCCCTCTTGATGCCAATGGATGAAATTTATCAATATATCCGTCATAGCTTTTTCGGTTTGGTGGATCACCATTCTTCCATCTTATAGATTTTTTGATTCCATACGTATATTTAAGGACTCTAGTTTTGACGATAAATTTGTTCCAATCCAAAGTTACACCGCTGGCATTATTTTTCAAGCTGAGACCATAATATACAGCCCCACGACATACACTAGCAATCGGTTGAACGGGAACCGAGATAGAACTAACTCTGTGTTGGTATTCTTCTTTGATTCTTGATTGTAAATATTTGGATTGACTGAACCCTCCTACCAAAAATAGCATAGAACATTTATCATTTGAATTGTCTAGTTGTGCTTTTATCATGTTGATAATCCTATTAACAACAGGATCAAACATATTTTTGACAATCATATAATCTAATTCAATTATCCAATCATTTTCCTCTAGCGTATCTTTTGTTTCGCCCGCTACATATTGCTTGAGCACTGGACAAACCTCTAATAACAAATGCTAATATTAGCTTAGTTTTTATGCGCAGTATTTTAAAATATTTATGTTTAAATTATTACCTCCAAGATCTAGATCGTATGAATAGTTTAGATCTTTACCATCAAATAGAAATTTGACATTTTTACAAAATTCTTGAACCATATATTGCATTTGGCCATAGTGAAGTTTTTCGAGCATATTTAATGGAAATTCACCAAGTTTTCTTTTAAGAAAATTAATAAATTCGCGATCTATCCAAGCACTTCCGCAAAAATCACCTGCACGTTCAGTAACTTCACCCAATTGATTATTACTGTATAATCTACGAGTTGTGAGATCTACTGTTCCACCGCCTGCATCTATAATACAAAATATTGCTACATCATATAGAAGAAGTTATAATTAATCGACATATTAAGTTAAGTGTAATATACAGAAATTAACCGCAAGAGTATACATATACATACTATGATCGATTCTATGGTCTGAATTAGCAACAATAGCTGGTTCTTTAAAACAATTCTTCATACAGTAAATAGCAGCAGCTTCGGCTAAATTAAAAAAGAAAATTTAAGTTCCAACTTTTATATATGAGAATTAAATATATTACAGTATTAAAACATACGTTCTGTAGTAAATTGTAAATTTTCTGAGTTAACCTCGCCGATTAAATCTGCACTGAACACACAATCACGTAGTATACTACGTGACCCATGAGAGTATTCAGCAGGAACGGTCATAACGAGTAATACGTTTTTATGAAAATCAATGCTTGGCCAAGAAGTTGCGATTGTTTCTTTTATTAACTTTGAAGATGAAAAATTTATAAAATTTAATAATCTATAATTTATTACTATATGTCATAAATGTTATAACTATAAGTAATGTAACAAACCTTTCCTATTTCTCGAATATAATCAGTGATCGCTTTCTTATAGTCCACAGGAAGTTTAGGTTTCATATCTTGAAACAAATTACCCAGATGAAGTTTAAATAATTCTACAGGTTTAGAGTCGTTTTGATGACCTTTTTTTCGTTTAGGTCGCTTTGCAAGCGCAGGAAATCCCCATGATTCAACTTCATTAAATTTTTCATCATATTGCAATACGGTATTTGTCTTGAGACTACCTATCTCTCCTGGCCATGTATTATTAGTGCAAAGTCGGTCATTTTCATCATGAGTATGAATATATGCGAATCCCTGGTGATTATATAAGTTGTGATATAAGTATTGGGAAATATATAAGAAATATAAGAAATGAGAATAAAAGTTATGTTTTTCTTCATACAGAATATGTAGTCCCAAAATCTAAATACGTAATTATAAAAAGTTAGTAATGCGAAATGAATTTGTAATATAAGTCATACAAATTCGCACGCGTAAATAAATAAAAAGTACCTAATCCTACGATAACTCGTATATCATCACTTTTATACATCATTGTTATTATATTATATAAAACAATCTCTTAAGCTGTCGATATTGTCAAAAAGCTCAGTCTTTATATAGGATGCATTCAGCAATTAGAAGAATTTAGAAAAATGTTAGGAAAATGTCGGATTATTAATATTTATTATAGAGATTAATTTAACTATATTTAGTATAGATTTTATGGGCAAACGGACAATGAATTTGTTTGTAAGTACGCATACTTTTTCAGATGAGGTAGTAAATCAGAAACAAAAACGGTTTTCTGTTATATCAATTTCTGGTAAACGCATTGACAAATTGTCGAAAAAAATGTATGCATTGAATACATATAAAGGTGATACATATCGTTATCAGTACTTTGTAATCCCATCTGCTGCGTCTTAGATTTTTCTATCGGTTTTATATGATACTTGTTTCCTAAAATTTTAATACCATGCGTGTTACTTCGGAAAACTTATTCCGATATTTATATATAAAAAGAATGTTCTTGTCAAACGGCAATTTTATACAAACAACTTTGGATATAGCAAACCGTTTGTAATGATCACACCACATATAACCATTAAATTTGTTTATAGAACTATACAAATTTCCTAAAATTCTTTGTTATAATGATATGTAAGAGCCGCTAATTTCTTATGATTAAACTACCTAACCATTTTTGTCGATCACTTCAAATTAGGCCTCGGTAATACAAATTTTCAAAATTCCCATCCAAATGCTATAAATCGTCTAGCTCTTTTAATTTTCGTGTTTTACTTCTTTGGTCATAATTCAACCTATGCTTATAACGATAAGGGTTCATGAAATAGTCCTTATTCTATATGTGGTAATTAGGGCCAACTTATAAGTGCACGATCATATGTAACTGTAACGCGTAGATCACAAATGCAATAGTTCTCATAGATATATTCTTTACGTATACGTATTTTTTATTATATACCATTATATATATTTATCTCTACATATGGGCAGATTTATGGAATTACTACTAAAAATGGCAAAATATTTAACAGTGAATAAACTTTTTATTCACTGGGTTTAGCGATTTGGGGCTCGTTAGAATCGTCTCATCGAGTCGGTCATTTTGATGGTAAAATCATCCAAAATGGGCCAGTGAATAAAAAATTATTCTCTATTAAATAATTACCATTTTTAAACATAGCGGGCTTTACTCGATTAGATGATCGACACAGTATGTTACACAATATGTTCCACATAGTGGCGTAACGTTT